AGACAACCCGGGGATCACAGTAGAGACCACCCGAGGGATCACAGTAGAGACCACCCGAGGGATCACAGTAGAGACCACCCGAGGGATTACAGTAGAGACCACCCGAGGGATCACAGTAGAGACAACCCGAGGGATCACAGTAGAGACCACCCGAGGGATCACAGTAGAGACCACCCGAGGGATCACAGTAGAGACCACCCGAGGGATCACAGTGGAGACCACCCGAGGGATCACAGTGGAGACCACCCGAGGGATCACAGTAGAGACCACCCGAGGGATCACAGTAGAGATCACTTGAGGGATGACATTAGAGACCACTCGATGAATCACGGTAGAGACCACTCGACGGATCACAGTAGAGATTACCATAGGGATCACAGTAGAGACCACCAGATTTATACTCTGTGTTAAATTGTTGGCCTATTAAGCACTGTGGGTCTGCATTGGCACATGGCCCATTAGATTGCTGACTCCTTTGTCTTATACTTATTTATTTATTAAGTGTTTTAAAGTTACTTCTTAGTTAAAAGCTAAGTCTTTTGTTAGTGCGACACTCACTATGTTCCTTGGGCCGTTGACTTTGCAAAGATCCGAGACACTTGTTGGCGCCGCATACGATCTTTTCTGAACGGATGGCGGTCTTGAAGATTTTCTGTGCTGGCCATGTTGTGGAGTGTAGCCGAGTGAGTAAAAGTATGTTCACCATTTCTGATATTTTCAGCAAGGCTGCTTCTGATTCTGTGTGTGATGCGAGTACTGCAAATCTCAGTGACGTAGTACACAACGAAATTTTAAAATTATGGTGTAGAGATTTTATGTCTTTAGTCCAATAATCGCACTTCCAACTTGTGCCTTTTTAATTATCAAGTTATTGCGTAATTGAAACAGCGTAAATTGTGGGACATCATGATTTAAAAAGGTTTTTACAAAGTGTAAGTCAACATTACATCTAACCTCCAATTGATGATGTTACTGATTCTGTCGGTAGGTGCACACATGGCTGATGAGACCGATTCTGGCACGGAAATTTCACGTGGAGTAGATACAAGCGATGAATGAGACAACTGAGTCCGTGGCCTGCCATTTGATATTGATAATTTTTTTTTGTTTTAAAGCCCGGTATGTGAATGTGGTTGAGCTTTCTTGCATGGTATACCATCCTCATTTCAAATTGACTTGGGCTTTGGGACAGTGTGCTGCCAAGGTAAGTCTTTCACCATGGACTTGAAGGTTGGGACAGTGTACTGCCAAGGTAAGTCTTTCACCATGGACTTGAAGGTTGGGACAGTGTACTGCCAAGGTAAGTCTTTCACTATGGACTTGAACGTTGGGACAGTGTACTGCCAAGGTAAGTCTTTCACTATGGACTTGAACGTTGGGACAGTGTACTGCCAAGGTAAGTCTTTCACCATGGACTTGAAGGTTGGGACAGTGTACTGCCAAGGTAAGTCTTTCACTATGGACTTGAACGTTGGGACAGTGTACTGCCAAGGTAAGTCTTTCACTATGGACTTGAACGTTGGGACAGTGTACTGCCAAGGTAAGTCTTTCACCATGGACTTGAAGGTTGGGACAGTGTACTGCCAAGGTAAGTCTTTCACTATGGACTTGAACGTTGGGACAGTGTACTGCCAAGGTAAGTCTTTCACTATGGACTTGAACGTTGGGACAGTGTACTGCCAAGGTAAGTCTTTCACCATGGACTTGAACGTTGGGACAGTGTGCTGTCAAGGTAAGTCTTTCACCATGGACTTGAACGTTGGGATAGTGTACTGCCAAGGTAAGTCTTTCACTATTGACTTGAACGTTGGGACAGTGTGCTGCCAAGGTAAGTCTTTCACCATTGGCTTGAACGTTGGGACAGTGTACTGCCAAGGTAAGTCTTTCACCATTGACTTGAACGTTGGGACAGTGTGCTGCCAAGGTAAGTCTTTCACCGTGGACTTGAACGTTGGGACAGTGTGCTGCCAAGGTAAGTCTTTCATCATTGACTTGAAGGTTGGGACAGTGTACTGCCAATGTAAGTCTTTCATCATTGACTTGAAGGTTGGGACAGTGTGCTGCCAAGGTAAGTCTTTCATCATTGACTTGAAGGTTGGGACAGTGTGCTGCCAAGGTAAGTCTTTCACCATTGACTTGAAGGTTGGGACAGTGTGCTGCCAAGGTAAGTCTTTCACCATTGACTTGAAGGTTGGGACAGTGTGCTGCCAAGGTAAGTCTTTCATCATTGACTTGAAGGTTGGGACAGTGTGCTGCCAAGGTAAGTCTTTCACCATTGACTTGAAGGTTGGGACAGTGTGCTGCCAAGGTAAGTCTTTCACCATTGACTTGAAGGTTGGGACAGTGTGCTGCCAAGGTAAGTCTTTCACCATTGACTTGAAGGTTGGGACAGTGCGCTGCCAAGGTAAGTCTTTCATCATTGACTCAATGCGAGTTGCTTGATGTACTAGCTGATACACACGAGTAAATAGATATAAAACACGAGTCAGTAGATATAACACATACACACCAGTCAATAGATATAACACATACACACGAGTCAATAGATATAACACATACACACGAGTCAATAGATATAACACATATACGTGAGTCAATAGACATAACACATACACATGAGTCAATACATATAACACATCTACACGAGTCAATAGATATAACACATACACATGAGTCAATATATATAACACATACACACGAGTCAATAGATATAACACATACACATGAGTCAATATATATTACACATACACACGAGTCAATAGATATAATATATTATACACATGAGTCAATACACATTTTCAGATTAAAAAGAAGAGTAAGAACTACGATGGACTGAAACACTCAATACTCATCAATAACAGGAATTAAAGTTACCTATATTATTATTCTTTTATCTGCAATGAATTCTCATGCTCTGTTACACTGCTATGACTTTTACTGCTCTGTTTAACTGCTATGGCATTTTCTACTCTCTGTCACTACTAAGAATTTTCCTGCCCTGTGTCACTGCTATGACTTTTCCTGCTCTGTGTCACTGCCATGACTTTTCCTGCTCTGTGTCACTGCCATGACTTTTCCTGCCCTGTGTCGCTGCCATGAATTTCCCTGCTCTGTGTACTGAAAAGTTACATCAAAAAATTGCGTCAGCGGGCCGTCGAGCTTTAGGCCCTCCCCAAAACACCCCTCCCCAACCCGGTATCGGGCCGCGGAGCGGCACGTCGTGGATGTCCCTTTGTCAGGACGGCCCCCACCCGAGTCTGCTCGACCAGGGTCTCCGCCGGGGGCCGTCCTAACCCAAAGACACCCGGTCGGTCCGACACTGTGTTTGCGCACAGTGCACACGATCGACTTTCTCAGGAGTCGGGATGGGAAAATGTACGTCCTAATATCTTCCCCCACCAATCCCGGGGAAGCGTTAGACGCCCTATAAGAGGGATACTACAGTGGGTTTCCACAACGCAACTAATTCGCGCTGTAGCTGGGACGAAACGGTTGCCTTGGAGCAGCTTCTCGGGGCTGCGTAGTAAGTATCATCGGCCAGAGGTTGCCACCATCGCCTCTCGCCTCATATCCATAAACAGCAACTTTATAATCATGATCCCTACCCTGTCTCTGCCTATTCTTCCTGTTGAGAAGTATCACAACTTGCAGCCCTATAGGAGCTGTTTTATGTACGGCAGGTACCGAGCACATCCCTTGTCTGCCCACGCAGGACGCGACCAGTAGTTGTGTTCCCCGGGTAACGTCGAGGGGGTCGGTGGCCGACGCCTCCTAATCGACAAGCCACCACAGACTTGTCAACCGGAGAACCGTGTTCTCGTACTTCTCGTGTTATTCTTTATCAATTGTTTATTCCAGGCCTGCACAACATACGGCCCACGGACCGCATGACGCCTGCCAACACTCACATTTGCGGCCCGCGAAGTTACATAATATTCTTTTTTATTATTATTTTCTAAAGAGCCTTCTTCTCTGTTCTATTTACTCTTGGCCAGCACACGTTATTTATAAAGGATTACGTGGTATTGGTGTGCCTAGTGCCCTATGTCAAGTCACCTATCGCGTCATTGACGCTACGCCACTAGCTACTAAAATTGGGGAACACCACAACAGACGCCTAGTAATTTGCCATGTGAACGTAGAATGAGTTTGTTCGTTTCCTATAGATCAGAATATTCACACTCGTGTCGAAAATTATTGTATGGCTTGAAATTTTCGATCTTTGATTAATTTAATTTTGAGAAAAGTGTGAGTAGGCATTCTTTATAAAATGTATACATTCAAAATAATCGGATGATTATGACGTAATTGTTTCTCAATGCTTTAAACTCTCGAGACCAAACGCTTTTTTAACACGTCACATCTTTTTCTTGTCGGCGACACGACGGTTGAACGCCTTCATTGGGTGTCTGGAAAAATCATCAACAATGGTGAAGATGCTGCTTTTGTCTAGCTTAAGGGGCGCTGGTGCACCAGTTAAACGTCTGGTAACATCAGCCGGACGATGTAAGAAAGGATTCACCTCATGTGCAGTGAACAAGAATGTACTTTTATGCCATGGTGGTAAACATCAAGAGATTCATAACCCATGTAGTAAGTAAAAACTTATTAAAAATTACAGTGACGTAAAGGGACACAGTTCTAATGTATATTAGGATTTATATACTACACCATAGTAAAAAAAAACGATATATTTATATATATACACACATATATATATAAGAAAAACTCGATAAGAAATTCCAGTCGGTCTTTGGTGACGGGATACATAAGCCGTGTGGTAAGAAAAAATTATTAAAGGATACGGCTTATCAAGGATAATATAATAAAATATTTGTTTTACGATCATTGGAATTGGTGGTCCATTTTATTATCCAGGGTACATTGTTTAAAGGAGATTATATGAGCTTGATATGGTTTAATTTGTAACAGTGACCCTCTCTACGCTGTCCACTTTGATTTGTAACAGTGACCCTCTCTCCGCTGCCCACGGTGGTCTGTCACAGTGACCCTCTCTCCGCTGTCCACGGTGGTTTGTCACAGTGACCCTCTCTCCGCTGTCCACAGTGATTTGTAACAGTGACTCTCTCTCCACTGTCCTTGATGATTTGTAACAGTGACCCTCTCTCCGCTGTCCACGGTGGTTTGTAATAGTGACCCATTCTCCACTGTCCACAGTGGTTTGTAATAGTGACCCATTCTCTGATGTCCACAGTGGTTTGTAATAGTGACCCATTCTCCGCTGTCCACGGTGATTAGTAACAGTGACCCAATTATCCACTGTCTATGGTGATTAGTAACAGTGACCATCTCTCCACTGTCCACGGTGATTTGTAATAGTGACCCATTCTCCACTGTCCACGGTGGTTTGTAACAGTGACCCTCTCTCCGCTGTCCACGGTGATTAGTAACAGCGACCCTCTCTCCGCTCTCCACGGTGATTTGTAGCAGCGACCCATTCTCCGCTATCTACGGTGATTTGTAAAAGTGACCCTCTCTCCGCAGTCCATAGTGGTCAGTAACTGTGACCCTCTCTCCGCTGTACACTGTGGCTGTTCCTGTGGAAAGATCATTTAGTTTCATCTTATTCTACGGCCCCTGAATGATCTGCTTTTCCGGCATATTACATACAATGGAAAATCAGCCTTAGGTGCCATCTAATATTCCGGCATATTATAGCGGAAAGTCATCCTTACGTGCCATCTGATATTCCGGCATATTACAATGTAAATTCAGCCTTGCGCGCCATCTGCTATGCTGGCATATCACAAGGGAAAATCAGCCTTGCGTTCCATCTAATATTCCGACATATTACAATGGAAAGTCAGCCTTGCGTATCATCTGATATTCCGACATATCACAATTGAAAATCAACCTTACGTGTTATCTGCTCTTCCAGCATATTACAACGGAAAGTCAGCCTTACGTGCCAACTGATATTCCTGCATATTATGATGGAAAGTCAGCCTTGAGTGCTATCTGCCATGCTGGTATATCACAAGGGAAAATCAGCCTTGCGTGTCATTTGATATTCCGGCATATTACAATGGAAAGTCAGCCTTTCGTGTCATCTTATATTTCAACATTTTACAAATGGAAAAGTCAGCCTTGCGTGCCATCTGCAAATGTGGCAAATCACAATGTAAAGTAAGCTCTGGGTGCCATCTGTTATTGTCGCATACCACAATTTGAAAGTCAGCCTTGCGTCTCATATGCTATGCGACATATCACAACACCAGCAGTTAACTAGTAAAATAAATTGCTAGATTCTGTGTTGATTGCCTTAAATAAACCCCCCCCCCCCCATTAAAAATGAGTTTTCCCCTAGAGATATTTTTTAACCGCATGTAGCACTGGCCCACCTGAGACCGTCCTCCCCTTGAGTGTGTCTGTTCATTGTGCACAACCTTATGCAGACACCACATGCCATACTATTTTTCATAGGCGCCGATGCACCCACCATCTTAGTGTTCTATTAGGGTCTGACAAACTAGGCAGTGTAGAGTGGACAGCCGTCTTACTCCTTCGTTGCGTAATCAGCCTTAGCAACTTCATGCTTCGCACCCCTTTGTTGTTTCTCCTCTTTCTCTCCCTGGCGCATCTATAGATTGGTATAAATTATTGAAATGAATTCTGAAAAATAACCTTAAACATAATCGGAACAATTAGCGAAAATTAATAACAGAATAGTTGTTTAATAGCTTTTAAAACTGGAGCAAAAATTTTGGTAATGATTTGAGGGGTAAGATGAATGACCACACACTGTGTTACACACACCCAAAACCGTATTAATCTATTCATTCACTCAGCCTGGCCTTGCCTGGAAAAATGGCACGTTAAAATATAAAAGAAACAAAAATAAATATAGCGTTCCTTCTATTAAAAGGAAAAAAACAAAAAAAAAAAAACAAGGCATGTTCGTTTCAGATGGAGTTCTTCTGGCGAGACGAACCCTGAGCCACTCACAGGAAAACCGTATTAATCTATTCATTCACTCAGCCTGGCCTTGCCTGGAAAAATGGCACGTTAAAATATAAAAAAAACAAAAATAAATATAGCGTTCCTTCTATTGAAATGAAAAAAACAAAAAAAAAAAAACAAGGCATGTTCGTTTCAGATGGAGTTCTTCTGGCGAGACGAACCCTGAGCCACTCACAGGCAGAGAATGTTTGGAAAAGTCTAAAGATCGTTAGCTCCACTTTGGGACAACTGAACAATAGAATTCAAGAAGAAACCAATGAACCATTACCCTCAACTGATCTCAAAAAGGTAGGATTTGTTTTTCTACCAGATATTTATTGTTTTGAATACTTAAAAGTAATTTCTTGATCGTGAAACTGAAAGCCATGGAACATATTGTAACTATAGTGTAACTTATAGTCCAATTTTCTACAACAACTTTGAGCCATGGCATCTTCTGACCACAGCCAATGTCCAATAATGAACTGAGGTAAATATAGGATATATGACATCATTCACTTCCTAGGGCAGCATTAAGATTGACAGCCCCGAAACTTTAAAGGTATTTTAGTTGAAATAAATTTCTGACAGTATAATCAAAATGCATAATAAAATTTCTAACTGCGAGCTCAACCCAAAATTATGCATTTGCATTTTATTTTTTGTTTAAATATATAAAATGTTATTATGCATACATTTATGACACTCTTATCTAGGTCTCTAGCATACCACTTCCTTTGAACTGGCTGCCCAGTTACAACCAGAAAAGAAGCTTTCATCATGGGCTGTTTGATAATGGGAGGCAAGATGTTCTGACATATTTAAATCGTAGCCTAGGGCCTTTGTCTTACAACTGCAGAGGGTTACATCTGGAGCCTGCTAGGTATTGCAAAATACCTACAACTTTTAATGTAAGCACCTTCCTGTGATACTTTTTGATAATTCATAAGTCAGATTATATTAAAATTTGAAATGTATTGCTATGTGTTGGCCTATCTTATCCTTTGGTAACTTATTATGATTATCTTATCTCATGGCTATTATTTGGAGTTCAGGAAAAAAACTTAAACGACTTATGTATGTTAATCTTGTCATGATTCTTTTCCCCATAAACCCTCACTTTTGTCCAGATGAAATGACAATCAAAATTTAAGAGGGAAGAAAGAAAATAATTATGATTTAATTTTTCATCCAGGTCCCAGAAGTACCGGATCAGGCCCTTGGGACTACTTTTACGCCACAACTGTGTGCGGAGTCACAACATAGAATCAAGAAAATTGCTCATGAACACCTAAAAAAAGCCCTTAGATCCAACAAGGTTAAAGTTGTAAAACATCAGCCGAAGGACTACCCTGGTAATTGATTTATGTAGTTTTACTCTAAGCGTCGTCACGTGGCATCTGGAGAGGAAAAAAAAAGGGTTGGGGGGGGGGGCATTTTTAATAAAACACTACCCACTGGGATGATTTATCATCATAAGATTTGATAAATAAGTGTTTCTAATGTGTCAGTTTGGTATCTCTGTTCTTTTGTAACTGAGTCAGTTTGGTGTAAGTTAAAGATGTGAAAATAATATAACTTTATTTGTACATTTATTATTTATTAATTTATTTTTTTAGCTGGTGTGTGTTTTGGGGGGGGGGGGTTAGTACAAGGGGTTAGGGGGGGTTAAAGGGGTTGGGGAGGGGTAGGGGTTGGAAAAATAATATAACTTTATTTGTACATTTATTATTTATTAATTTATTTTTTTAGCTGGTGTGTGTTTTGGGGGGGGGGGGGTTAGTACAAGGGGTTAGGGGTGGTCAAAGGTGTTGGGAAGTGGTAGGGGTTGGAATCAGATGCAATTCATGTTCCTAAAAAAAATAGGATAAGCATTTTACCATAAAACTAATTATGAACCTTTGTCAGATCTAATGAACTAAATACTAATAAAGCTTAAGGGCATAGGTTATCGGCATGAAACATGCCTGTTAGTAAACCCTTATCAAGAGATTTATTTATTTAGCTAAAGATTTAACAGGTAAAGTGATTTTTTAAAAAAAATATGCAAAATGCTATTTATAGGCAACTAAAAAGTTTTTAGAAAGGCAAATAAAATGAATATTAAAAAAATGAACTAAACAATAATAATAATGATATACATGATTTATTCTTGTACCTACACATATTTCATTACTAAAATAATTGGATAACACCACTAAAAAAAATTGTTTATAAATTACTGAGAATCCACAATTAACTTTTCTTTTTTTAAAAAAATCTTTACCAGATCGAGGACTATTTAAATCACCCCTTGTGATTCAAGTAGAGAAAGATAAAAAATTTAAAAAAGCAGCATTCCAAGTTCCAGCTGTACTTCGATATGTAAGGAAACATTGTTTCAATGACGCATTTATGCATAAATTTAGACGTGTGGTGCTGGAGAGAATCATGCGTCGTCAGAAAGACTGCATGTCATGCAACATTGTGCTTGGATGAATAGTTGAAATAGCTTTATAAGAAAAACTAAATACATTGAAACGTGAGGCTAATAGATAACTGGCAATTTTACTTAGGACTAAGTTTGTTTGGAATGCATCTTAATTTTTTTTTGTTACTGACAGATGATTATGGAGATCACTAAAAGAAATTTGGATACCCCTGGATTGTTCAAAATTTCCGGAGATCCTAACAATGTAGCGGTAAGATAGTGTTTCATTCTTTTTTGAAGCTTCAATGAAAGTTTTTGTGTGACTTAAACCGATGTAAAATAAAGACGTACAGTTTCTAGTATATTATAAATTATACGTTCAGGTGACTTCAAATACGTGTCGTAATTATGGAAGGTAGGGATACATCTTTTAAAAACTCAAAATCAAGAATGTGAAAACTCATAAAGTGCAGTATTAGTTATAGGGTAACTACTGATTTTAATCATTTTAAATAAATGAAAAGTGTAAATATTAAGTAATTTGTGTAAAAAAAAAATAAGGTGGGTAGCGAATAAAATAAAGGTTGAGAAACGCTGTCCTTGACCATGCTGGTAGCAAGTTTTCAATTAACTCAATGAATTTTAGGTCTAACTTCAAACGGTAATTGTTGCCCCCCTGTTTTAAATGCCTAGAAAATGAAAACGAAGGTTTAAAAATAAAAGTCTGATTAAAAAGTCATTTTAAGACAAACATGCAGGCTAAGGTTTACATAAGATCAATGTATAAATCAATTGAATAGTTAGAGAGCAGCAAAGCTATCGTTCCTGGCGCAGGGAAGAGGCAAAGATTATTAAATGGAATAGTTATTTATTATCATGCATTTTTATTTTAATTCTTCGCACAGAAATTAAAGAGTCAATTGGAGCAGACATTCTATGGGTCAGGGTCCTTTGATGGGAGCAAATATACTATTCATGACTATACAACTCTTTTGAAAGACTATTTGCGTGAGCTGCCGGCACGGCTCATATCAACAGAAAAATTTGAAGTTTTTCCTGATATAGAAGGTATTGGTGTTGAATTGAAATATTTCTGATACATAAGGTGTTGGTTTTTAATTCAAATATTTCAGATATAGAAGGTGTTGGTGTTGAATTCAAATATTTCTGATACAGAATGTGTTGGTGTTGAATTCAAATATTTCTGATACAGAAGGTGTTGGTGTTGAATTCAAATATTTCAGATATAGAAGGTGTTGGTGTTGAATTCAAATATTTCTGATACAGAAGGTGTTGGTGTTGAATTTAAATATTTCAGATATAGAAGGTATTGGTGTTGAAATCAAATATTTCAGACATACAATTTTAATTAAACAAATTCTAATAATTGAATGAAATTTATTTCTTAGTTTTTGTTCCAATACAGAACTAACGATGACAAATTTTATTCTTTTCATAGATTTGGATTTTGAAACGCAACAAATTCCAATAATGAGATTTTTTAATCTGTCCATGATACGAGAACACAGAAACACAGTATGGGTATGTACTCTGTAATGTACAGTATATAGTTTGGACACTTATGAATACGTTCAATGATGTCCAGGGTGTCTCTGCAGCAGACAGGATATATAAGAATAGCTGTGTGCTGGAGCCGGTTGTTTGGCTTGTTAGGCAGCTCAGAGCTGTGTTAGGAGTCTCTTTAAAAGTAAACGTTGTGATAATTTTAAACTAATTTGTGCTGTCATTAAACCACCTTTTAAAGCATTTTTTATTATTTAATTATTATTTTTGTTGTTGTTGCAGTATCTCTTAAGCTTTCTAGAAGAGGTTGCAGAACACAAAGATAAAAATCAGATGGACGCCGATAAATTGGCTGTATTCTTTGGACCCATTTTATTTAAGATGTTGGACATGCCCGCTAAGGATGTGGGAGACAAGGTTTCCTGTCATGTCAACTTGGCTAGAGCGTGGATGTTTTATTTTCGTAACTTGGCTCTTGTAAGTCAACCATGGGCTCATTTAAAGCTGATCTAACATTTTAGCTCTCGTCAATACTTTTCAAATCACTTTATCTTTAAAGGAATAGTAAAAATTACTATAGATGTCAGCAGAAACAATTGTAAATTTTAAACTTGTCAAAAATGTCTGAATCATTATTTAAAGTGTATTTCTGATTGAGGAGAAAACTACCTTCTCTTTAGTATTGATGGTATCGAATTTAGCTAAGTTGTCAAGTGTATCACTAGAAGGGAGTTGCCGCCTTTCATTATTTCATAGGAATTTCAAGAACAGACTTCATTAAATTTTATACCATATATTTGAAAATACATGAAAAGGCAATTTAAAAGAAACGATTAATAATTCTCTTTCTCTTGATCCAACTTTAAAGAAATGTCATTTTCTTATGATTTATATTGGTTAAATAAAAACTGTCCCTGGGAAACTTTATATCACTTAAATGGTACATGACCCCTTGTACACTTCTATCACTTAAATAATACAAAACCCTTTGTGCCTTTCTATCAATAAAATTGTACATGGCCATTGGAACTTTCTATCAGTTAAATTTTAGATGGCCCTTTGTACCTTTCTATAACTTAAATAGTAGATGGCCCTTTGTACCTTTCTATCACTTAAATTGTAGATGGCAATTTATACCTTTCTATCACATGTTTAGGCTATTTTACTTTCTTTCTTGCTTTTCTATAAATCATATTTAGGTACCATCTGATATTATGGATGAAGTTAGGAAATCTTTCAAGTCAAAACCAGCCGATGTAAAATTTGTAAGTAACATGTTTATTTTAATTAAAGAATTTTTGAAAAAATATTAATAATATCAATATTAATTAGAGTTAAAGATGACATTAAAATGTTAGGATTTGTTAATGCTTTTATATTGCAAGTATTGAATGACCTTTATAACTTTTCTATTTCAGAATCCTAAACTATTTCCTCAAAAACCAAAACCTCCATCTGTTCCCAAAGATTTGGTAAATTTCTTAGACGTTTGTCTTAATCATAAAATAAATAAATAACCGGCTAAAAAACAGAAAAAACGATTTTACCAGCAGACAGGCCACATCTAGCTTATATAAGGATATAAGACTAGACTCGGCGCCAACTTGGCCTTTCTGCCAACATTCAAATGAGACAAAGTCAAATAACCTGTCTTCACTGGCCACGTGAACTGATTAACACTTTTATGACCTGCCATAATATCCGGACTCAAGAAACGACATAAAATCAGACAACGTCCAAGTGAAGAACACCTGTAATTTCTTCTTCTTCTTCTATATCTTAAGGGCCCACGATCAATTTTTTTATCATATTCAATGGACTATGCCCAAATGGGACATTTTATCAAATTAATGAAATCACTTGTCATAATTACTTTCAAGATTTATAAAAGCTTTCTAGGCCAAATTTAAACTCTCATGAGAACTTTTAATAAACACTGATAACTATCTGTAGAAAGAGTAGTTTATAATTTATTGCCTTTTAAAAAAATTTCTTTCATCTCCAGCAAAATCTTGCTAGTGCCAAAATTACTGTGCTGACACCTTATGAGGATCAGCCTTCCAAGGAAATAACAATAGGAGCACAGCATGTAGCCAAACAAGTTGTCTGTGAAGCATTAGGAGTAGCCTTGTAAGTGGTCAACTATGAACGGTTATTCCAGTATGATCTAAAAGACGTAGTGAACTGGTAGTGATAGCCAACATACAGATAGTAACACTAAGGTGGACTCTGCTGATATAGATATTTCATTTATTAATTAAGTATTTTAGATAAAACATCCAAGGCCCGTTATTCTTCAATAAATTATACAACCAATCATTAGAATAAAATTATTTATATTGACTACTTTATTTTAAAAAAAAAAAATTAACTTAAACCATTTGTCTCTGTATATTCAATCAGTGATCCATTTGAAGTAAAAGGCAATGACTCCGCATCAGACACAACCTCGCTATTGAAACCAGATGTACTTCACGATTTGGGAACGTAAATATTAAGACTAAATATCATGCATAATTAAGAAGCTTCATTACTAATGTATACATTTAATTGCTTTTTTTTAAAAAGAATATAAAATTCAAATATCATTCTAGTGCAGCACTAAATGATTCAGAATTTAAAACTCTTTTATATTTGAAATTTATTTATAGACCACTTGGCACGGCAAATTAATATTTTTTTACAACATATGCTCCCCTAGGGATGAGCCAGAAGATGATGATACGAAATATAAAGGCGAATATGCGCAATTTTTGTACGAAATTGGTGGCAATATGGGTAATTTTGATTTCTTAAACTTAATTTTGTTGTTGTTCTTTATTTATAATTCTGCATTAAAAACATAATAGCTTTCTCTCACCAAAATTGGCTCCTTCAGCTATTACTTACCTAGGGCACCTCTTGAGCGACACCCCTGGCCTTGCCAACCAACATGGTTAGGGCACGTCTTGAGTGACATGTCACCTCCTCTATGACATCCGTTCTTAGACTATGACATCCTTTCTTTCTCTGTCCAACTATGATGATTGTTGTAAGATTGATGACTGAAAAAATGGGCTTGTTAGAGGCGTTGAAATACTCTTGATAACTTTGTACATCTTGAGATGAAATTAACAAACACGCCAACCAACATCGCCTTATGGTTGTGCAAAAAAAAACAAAAAAAACATCAACATCACCACCACCACCACCACACACCTATGCTAATGATTTGATAGCGTAGTGTTCACTTATCATTTTACCCCATGTTTACACACACAGACCTTACCACACGTGGAAGGCCATATAACGCGAGGCATACCTTACCGCATGTGGTGGATCGTTTCGATAATTGAAGTGTATTTGCCTCCACTTCCCTATTCTAGGTGAACGATGCCTGAACTCCAACACCAAGATGCTGGATCTCTACAAAGCAAATCCTAAAGCATTCTGGGTGGTCAAGTCCCGACAAGCTCCGTCAATGATTAGATACAGTCACATAGTAAAAAGGGACCTTCCTCCACTATGAGGCCAAGGAATATGTTGTCAAGAAGTATGTGGCCAAGGACCACCCAAACTAAAACTGTGGCTAACTTAACATAGATGCCTTTTAACATCAGCCTATAACGTCACACACATTTGACGTATAGCATTCAATGGTATAAAGAATTTTCTGTGCTGAACTTCAGTTAAAAAATTGTTCACTAAAATAAATGTATTATTAATTTCAACGTGAGAAATTTTTTTTTTGAGGAAACCTTTCTTACACTTGTTTATCTCAGTGATCATTACATTTATGTCTCTAGTGTAACTTTTGACAGCACAATTTTCATCTGATCAATAAACATCAATCGTAAAGAAACAATTGTTTGCTATTTATTGATTTGAAGACCTCAATTCGATTTTCATTTCATAGTTGGTATGTTGATATCAATAAAAGTTTCCATTAGAAGCTAATTTGAATTCTACTATTGCCTCAACTCCAAGTGAATTTTTAATCAAATATTTTAGCGGCAATATGAATAGACTAGATGAATTATTTCAATTCAATATCTTGAAGTAGTTTTTGTTCTCAGTGCTTACTTGGACAACAATAATTAAAGGAAAATAAGTTGGAAAGCAATTTATATCTTCTCTAGCTGAAAGAACATGTACTTTTATAAATAAACTTTTTAATTAAAAGGATAAATTCAACAAATTTGAAAATTAAACATAAATGTCAAATATTTGGGACACATGTCAATTGAAAGTCAAAATAACAAGAATGTACCAAACGAGACCACGGGGGATGTCCCCCACCCCCCACCCTAATTACATAGAAAAAAATGCTCCCAGACTCCCAGGGTTGGGTCTGTAGAATGACGATTGCGCCTCTTGTGTCTGAAAAGTACACAGGGTTTTAACGATAGTGCGCAGTCTAAATACGATTTTGGCGCCTGTGGCAAATGTCCCATCGCCCACTCCCTTTCGTATGGCCCTGGTTCAACACACAACATATGCTTCATAAAATATGTTTAAAAAAAATTGAAATAATTAAAACACTATTGTCGGATTCGTACCTGAAAATTCAACGTTTATAGTATATAACCCCCCCCCCCCCTTTTTGTCCGCATCCCAACTTTATGCCCTTTAAAAATTTAGTGCTTTCGGCGTCCTCTGGGATTGGGTATAGTATATAACCCCCCCCCCCTTTTTGTCCGCATCCCAACTTTATGCCCTTTAAAAATTTAGTGCTTTCGGCGTCCCCTGGGTTTGGGTGGTTGGTCCACACGATGTCTCTTTATGAACCCATGCCGATCCTCCTTTTGAAGCATCATCTTTATTCTAGCTGGCACGATCTTTCAAACAATTAAATACTGTGGCATTTCAGAGTTTTGTATAGGGAGGTGGGGCAGTGCCAAGAGACGTAGCTAAGGGGGGGGCAGATGGGACAGACGTCCCCGGGCGCCAGACCAATGGGGCTTTTATGGTATTTAATGGATGAAAATTATACGTATTGAGGGAGGGGGGGTAAAAATGAATTGATCCCCCTGACGCCAAACTCTCTAGCGACGCCCCTGCCACTGGCGTAGAAAAGGGTCAGATGAGTTTTACAGCCATATATCACTTTTTCTTTATATGGAGGTGCGGTATTTTAAGACACCTGCAGAGTTTGTGTCGTGAAAGGTGAAAGGTATAGTGGAGAACATCTTTGGCCCCACATGCAGGCACTAATACTGGATAAGCAGCCAGTGGCACCAAAGTTTTGCGATCATTTTCATCGGGAAGTTGGGCAGAGATTGAGGGCGCCGATTAATAATGGGCGTGCATTTGGAATTTACTTGAATTAAATGTTTATTAGACTTTTGGATCGGGGGACGAACATTTCTAAGGGTCTGGGGAGGGGGCATTATGGTGCCCAGTGCATACATCAACTGAATTCACTCTGATTGAGGCGTGTCCTATGTCAATCATTTGACACAAGCTTATATATGGTGGAAGGGGGTGCAGAAATTGAGGGCGCTGCAGAATTTCTGACGAATTCAAAAAGCATGATTACATTTGAGCGCAAACTTGAAATCGGTGTTTCTTTCTGAAAATTTGAGGTGGCTTTTTGATAAATTTAAAATACAAGAATGTATTTTTATCACATAGCTGAACTAGTTTTGCAACATCCTACACTTAAATTGGAGAGAAACGAAAAATGTGCTAGTTAAAATATGTATGTGTTACCCAACCTTAGAATCATCTTTTGGGCCCAGCAGCAGCCTGCAATGAGCCTCGGATATGTTCGGGGTTTAAAGATATGATGTGGACACATTCAAGTATCTTATGTCAATGTAAGGTGGAGGAGGCCCAAACCGAATAGTGGCAGGGGGCCTCAGAAAAGTCGAACGACGGCTGTGCTTGACCTCCTTGTGTTTATGTACATTTTGTATTTTATATCACTAAATAGAAATGTGGCTTTTATTTTTTGTTTCAAACTTTGTTTACACAAAATCCATCACAAAAAGCACGGCTAACTTCATTTCACAAGTGGAAAGCAAATGAAAAAAAAACAAAACAAACTACTGTTAATAATTCTCTCCTATCCTTGTGGCGCTCCTACCCATGTAGGGCTTTTGTCTGCTTCGCTTATAATGATCCCTGTGGCACTCCAGCCCATGTAGGGCTTTTGTCTGCTTCGCTTATAATGATCCCTGTGGCGCTCCTACCCATGTAGGGCTTTTGTCTGCTTCGCTTATAATGATCCCTGTGGCGCTCCAGCCCATGTATGGCTTTTGTCTGCTTCGCTTATAATGATCCCTGTGGCACTCCAGCCCATGTAGGGCTTTTGTCTGCTTCGCTTATAATGATCCCTGTGGCACTCCAGCCCATGTAGGGCTTTTGTCTGCTTCGCTTATAATGATCCCTGTGGCACTCCTACCCATGTAGGGCTTTTGTCTGCTTCGCTTATAATGATCCCTGTGGCGCTACTACCCATGTAGGGCTTTTGTCTGCTTCACTTATAATGATCCCTGTGGCGCTCCTACCCATGTAGGGCTTTTGTCTGCTTCGCTTATAATGATCCCTGTGGCGCTCCTACCCATGTAGGGCTTTTGTCTGCTTCGCTTATAATGATCCCTGTGGCGCTCCTACCCATGTAGGGCTTTTGTCTGCTTCGCTTATAATGATCCCTGTGGCGCTCCTACCCATGTAGGGCTTTTGTCTGCTTCGCTTATAATGATCCCTGTGGCGCTCCTACCCATGTAGGGCTTTTGTCTGCTTCGCTTATAATGATCCCTGTGGCGCTCCTACCCATGTAGGGCTTTTGTCTGCTTCGCTTATAATGATCCCTGTGGCGCTCCTACCCATGTAGGGCTTTTGTCTGCTTCGCTTATAATGATCCCTGTGGCGCTCCTACCCATGTAGGGCTTTTGTCTGCTTCGCTTATAATGATCCCTGTGGCGCTCCTACCCATGTAGGGCTTTTGTCTGCTTCGCTTATAATGATCCCTGTGGCGCTCCTACCCATGTAGGGCTTTTGTCTGCTTCGCTTATAATGATCCCTGTGGCGCTCCTACCCATGTAGGGCTTTTGTCTGCTTCGCTTATAATGATCCCTGTGGCGCTCCAGCCCATGTAGGGCTTTTGTCTGCTTCGCTTATAATGATCCCTGTGGCACTCCAGCCCATGTAGGGCTTTGTCTGCTTCGCTTATAATGATCCCTGTGGCCGTCCAACACATGTAGGGCTTTTGTCTGCTTCGCTTATAATGATCCCTGTGGCGCTCCTACCCATGTAGGGCTTTTGTCTGCTACGCTTAAAATGATCCCTGTGGCGCTCCTACCCATGTAGGGCTTTTGTCTGCTTCGCTTATAATGATCCTTGTGGCGCTCCTACCCATGAAGGGATTTTGTCTGCCTCACTTATAATGATCCCTGTGGCGCTCCACACCATGTAGGGCTTTTGTCTGCTTCGCTTATAATGATCCCTGTGGCGCTCCTACCCATGTACGGCTTTTGTCTGCTTCGCTTATAATGATCCCTGTGGCACTCCTACCCATGTAGGGCTTTTGTCTGCTTCGCTTATAATGATCCCTGTGGCGCTCCTACCCATGTAGGGCTTTTGTCTGCTTCGCTTATAATGATCCCTGTGGCGCTACTACCCATGTAGGGCTTTTGTCTGCTTCGCTTATAATGATCCCTGTGGCACTCCTACCCATGTAGGGCTTTTGTCTGCTTCGCTTATAATGATCCCTGTGGCGCTCCAACACATGTAGGGCTTTTGTCTGCTTCGCTTATAATGATCCCTGTGGCGCTCCTACCCATGTAGGGCTTTTGTCTGCTACGCTTAAAATGATTCCTGTGGTGCTCTAGCCCATGTAGGGCTTTTGTCTGCTTCGCTTATAATGATCCCTGTGGCGCTCCTGCCCATGTAGGGCTTTTGTCTGCTTCGCTTAAAATGATCCCTGTGGCACTCCTACCCATGTAGGGCTTTTGTCTGCTTCGCTTATAATGATCCCTGTGGCGCTCCTACCCATGTAGGGCTTTTGTCTGCTTCGCTTATAATGATCCCTGTGGCGCTCCTACCCATGTAGGGCTTTTGTCTGCTTCGCTTATAATGATCCCTGTGGCGCTCCAACACATGTAGGGCTTTTGTCTGCTTCGCTTATAATGATCCCTGTGGCGCTCCTACCCATGTAGGGCTTTTGTCTGCTTCGCTTATAATGATTACTTTTTGAAAATATTTCCAAGTTTTACCACAGGCAAATAAAAAAGAAAAGAAAGATCCATTATGGGTTATCAAAATTGGTCAGTTTGTATGCATCGTATATGAGTGGCATAATTTTGTTTTAAGAAGATATGAGTTGTTTACAAAAGAAATATATATTGATTGATTGATGTGGGATTTTATCGGAGGGAAATCGTATAAAAATAAAGTAGGCTAAACATCTCCCAATATTCAGTTGAATGTAATGCTTATTAGGAAATTCAAACTGCTGTAACTTTATTCAGGTAAATTAAAATTTACCTCTCGATATACTTTAAATCATTTTTTTAAAAACCTAATCTGCATAATTTATTTTAAATTGACGATTTATTAATAATAAAAAATTCTAATACCAGTTCTAGAAAAAAAAAATGAAAACAAATTCATGCAATTAGGTCGAGCAGTTTGTTTATTATGAAGGCATTTAAATGACAAAAGCAGCTAAGAATTTAATCAATTTAATGTCTTGTTATTTAAAAAAAACAACAACTCTTCTTACAAAGTTTTGTTAAAACTTCGTTACTAAAGTAGCACATTGAAAGAAAACACAAACACTATTAAATGACGAAAAGTGCATTATGTGTATGCGACTTTAAATTCATAATTTCGCTTTAAAAAAATGTCAATTTTTAAAAGTTTTCCTTTGATCTAACTCAGAGGTCATTAAACTACCGGCTTTTGACGTCAGTTTAATAGGCCCGCCTGCTGTATTTGAATTTGCTTCATAAAAAGCATGAAACACGAGAAGTTGTGAGACAATTTAAATTTAAATATTCTTTTTAGATAGGTACTTTGGTTTTAAAAAAAAAAAAATCAAAATATTACAGTTTATAGAGAACACATTTCAAATTTTAAAAATGTGACCAGAATTAACTTTATAGCTTTAGTATTATTAAATTTACATTTTATAGTGCGAGTTCGTTTGTTATTTTGTACAATGCACTGCCCCACCACATTGTGTGATCCTATCCCGCTGATCGCGTCATGCACAATGGCAACAGCCATTGTTTATATGATATTTTATACACATTTTATTTCAGTATTAATCATTAATGCTAAGTATTAAAAGTTCTAATAAAAAAATGATTTTAACATTATTCTGCAATTATAAACAAATTATAAATTATTTTGCTGTGTAATATGAGTAATTATATTAAATACCATACTGGTTTTAGATTACTTATTTTTTAACTTTCAACTTTTGCACATCTCCAATTATTTAAAGCTTTTTATGACCAATGATGCAATAGCGTTGTCGCCCGGCACACTCAATCTCTTCTGAATGAAACTATGAAAATATCTCTTGCAAGTGACTGTAAATGGTTAACCATGAACAACGTTCGGCACAAGGCAAATTTATGATTATGTATATGGACTCTACCGGGTTTTTAAACCTCAAATTAAATATGATTTAAATTACTTACAAGTTCATTATAAAACACAAGTAATCACATATTTTGATGAAAATAGGGGTCGTAATTAAATACTAATAGAATCGGCATCTTCCGCCATTAAAAAGGGGGTGCGATCGAAATGTACAGAATGGTTATGCGGGCCCTTCGCTTGTCATTTTGTGAGTTATCCGGCCCGCCGTGAAAAAAATTTGGTTACCTCTGATCTAACTCAACATAAATTGATTCGAGTATATTTAAAATTATGCTAAGGACTATATTTAAGTAGAATGCCATCATACAATGAAACAAATTTATGATTAGGGATCCTTTTTTGAAAAGTCAGACTTTTATCATGAAATACAATTTGAAAATACGTTGCACATGTTTGATACTTAGCAAGACCATTGTATAAGAAATATCATTTCATTTTATCATCAAATGTATCGATATTTCAAATTTTCACTAATTGTAATCGTTAAATGCGCTAGTTACTATTCTTTTTTATTTTAAAAAAAAATAGAAGAGAATTTAGTACTTTTTCGTTTTATTGTTGTGCACACTTTTCTGTTTTCTGTGGGGAGGGGGGAAAGGGGAGACTTTACTTGCTCCGAAGGGTGCAGTGCTGACAACATTAACACAATGATATGTAAACGTGTAAAACATCTTCTTGCTGTGAAGTTGATGTGATTGACCATGAGCTTCTTCTGTCAAGACTTCTGAAGGTGGCAGGCATCTCTGGAAATACACTTCGCTGGTTTCTTCTTATCTGACTGACAGGACTCAGCGTATTGTTGTGAAGCAAGCATCTTCCATGGACACTTCCGTTTCCTGCAGCGGGCCAAAGGGCTCAGTTTTAGGACCAATTCTGTTCTCCATGTACACTAGCCAGCTCAGCAAAATTATTGAAATTCATGGCATTTACCGCAAAATATTTGCGGATGACACAGAACTTTACAAGTGTTTCCGCCCTGATCTCTTGGATTGTGCTGCTGCTGTTCAGGCTGTCAAGGACTGCTGTCTTGCTGTAAAAGAATGGATGTCATCAAACAGACTAAAGTTAAATGACGATAAGACTGAGGCAATTATTTGTGGTTCAGACGCCAAACTGTGGAAAGTTGCATCGAAGCAATAAAAGTTGAAAAATCAGAGATCCCGTTGTCCTCCACTGTCAGAGACCTTGGATTATATATTGACAGTAAACTTAGAATGATTCCCCACATCAATTCAGTGGTCAGGGCATGCGTCTGTCATCTGCGTGCCATGGGTCAGCTGCGCCCTCAACTCAATAAGAGAACAGCCAATCCTGTAGTGGTAACTCTAATCCAGTCAAGATTAGATTACTGTAACGGCTGTTTGTGGGTTTTACCTCAGAACCAAATTCAGAGACGCCAGAAGGTACAAAATACTGTAGCACGCATTGTATCGCGGATAAAGAAATCTGACCACATCACCCCAGTTCTACGATATCTCCATTGGGTTGCTGTGAGTGAGCGCATTAATTACACAATTCTGTCCCTGACGTACAGCTGCATAGAAGGCTCTGCACCGGAATATCTTAAAGATTTGATTTATAAACATGTATCCTTAAAAAAACCTGCGGTCTTCAACACAGACCTTTCTGAAAATTGCCGGTGTGGATGGACGCAGAAAACATGTCATACGGAGTGTGCTCTTTCGAAGCGATAGCGCCAGAATTATGGAACAGTTTGCCTCAATCTTTGAGGGCAATTGAAAGTGATAAAAGATCATTTAAGAAACATTTAAAAAAACACATTTTTGTTTAAATAGATTTAAGTAAACCATGCAGAGCGCAGTGAGCATGTTAAAGTAGCATGGATACCAGCGCCATATAAATATCCAATCAATCAATCAAAATTTAAATATTTACTTATTTTAATTTCTTAAAAAGTAGATAAATTTAATCTAGCATGCTAGCCTAATAAGTCATTACTGTGTGGTACTGATATCTAAAATAATCATTTGGCATTGGGTCATTATAATATAAAGAAAGAAATTGTTTTCTCCATTAAGCAATAAATCTTATAATTGGTATCTCCTTCATGCAAAAATACTTTTTTTTAAAATACTTATAAAAAAATGCAATATTTTTCTTTATTTGTTTTGTAAATTAATGTTCAGTAGTAATTTTATAGTTGATAATTTGACGCTTTTGAAAAAAATGTAATTTTTTTAAAATGTTGATTTTCTGGCAAAATTTCCTCCAATGACATGGCAGCTCAATTGAACGATCCCTAAAATCAAAATTTCCTCCAATGACATGGCAGCTCAATTGAACGATCCCTAAAATCAAAATGTCCTCCAATGACATGGCAGCTCAATTGAACGATCCCTAAAATCAAAATCTCAATTGAACGATCCCTAAAATCAAAATTTCCTCCAATGACATGGCAGCTCAATTGAACGATCCCTAAAATCAAAATGTCCTCCAATGACATGGCAGCTCAATTGAACGATCCCTAAAATCAAAATTTCCTCCAATGACATGGCAGCTCAATTGAACGATCCCTAAAATCAAAATTTCCTCCAATGACATGGCAGCTCAATTGAACGATCCCTAACACAGAAGCGTATCTTGTAAATCCTTTATATGCATTTTTATTATATTATCTAAATTATTATATAATTCGCTAGCAAAGGTCAAACACCACCACGCAGGCTATATATAGATACGCCAGAGTGTATTTAAATAATGAGTTCACTAGCGCGCAAAATATAATTCCCGATAACTAAGCTAAATGATCTATATATCTATTTTTAATAACGCAATTGCGTTTGGTGCGCAATATTTCCTTTTCGGAAATAAAAGCGTCTCAATTTAAGTATCGTGTAAAAAATATTCGGTTTAAAAGTAGTTGGGACATGAGAATATTAATATAGTTCATGGGCGTGAAATGAAAAGTGTGTCGTGACGCACCATGGGGTGAAGGGGTGTTTATCGAAAATTGAAATTCTTAAATGTGAGTTATATGAGTTCATGTTTTGTATAGTAACTTTAGTAGACGGGAAGTTCGAGCATTACTGCCGCCAACATTTATCTATATCTATATCTATATCTAGTTTTATATTAATATTCTAATGTCCAACCCACTTATACACCACATATTTCTTACAGCAATTATTTCAATAAAAAAAAAAGAAAATATTAAGCACCAAAGGCATTTGCGATTTTTAAAAAAAAAATGAACCTCATTTAGAGCAGGGATCAGGAATTTTATTGCCTGAAATCATTGGCATCTTATTTACTTCATCTTCCCCTTGCAAAAAAACAAGAAAAACTGATATTGGGGGATTGAGGTTAAGAGTTGCGGCTGAAAATTTCAAAGCATATGTTGTCATCAGCACGAGTCTCTATGCCAGGTTGCAACTCGATAGGTTGGTGGGAAGTTGGGTCAATTAGCAGAGAAACGCGAACAAAAGCGAAGTTACTGTTCAAGATTTTAATTAAACAACCTCTAAAAACAAAGTGTTTAATTATAAAAACTTTAAAAAATGTTATTTGGTGCAATTGGGGGCTGGGGGTGGGTTTTTCACGCCCTGGACTAATATTCTAATGGCCCATCGGCTTTTACATCGCAGATTTATATGAACAACAATTTCAGAAAAACAAACGAAAATATTACACACCAAACGCACTTGGGATACAGTCACAAGAATCGCACGTAGTGCAGTTATCGGGAACTTTATTTTGTGAAATCAGTATCATCATATTTCCCTCAACTTCCTCTTGAAAAACCAATTTTTGGAGGCTGGGTTAGGGAGGCAAAAAAAAAAAAAAATAAATAATTGGATAGAATGTGCTGTCATTGGCAACGTGTCTATGTTCCAAGTTTCAAGTCAAATAGCCATTTGAATATCTTGCCAGCCACAAATAAACGAAGAAAAACGAATTTAATATAAAGGATTTTAAAAGGCATACTTCTTTAATGGGAACTTTGAAAATTGCTGTTAAATATAATTTTAAAAGAAGATAATAAAAAATGATATTATGTATAGATCTTATTGTCACCAGAGTATTCTGATATTTGATACACTCAATTATTAGTAAAAGTGGGAGTAATCATTCTTTAAAATCGTCATTCGTCATTAAAATAATCAGATGATTTTGTACTTGTTGTTAGAAACACTGAACTCTCGAGACCAAATGTCTTTTCGAAATTATTGCGTCACATCCAATTTTTCGTGGGGACGACAAAGATTCAACTCATTGACTCATTGTTTGGGTGTCTAAAAAAAACCTACAATGGTGAAGATGCTGCTTTTGTCTAGCCTAAGGGGCGCTGGTGCACCAGTTAAACGTCTGGTAACATCAGCTGGACAATGTAAGAAAGGATTCGCCTCCTCTGCAGTTAACCAGAATGTACTTTCTTTACGCCATGTTGGTAAACACCCAGAGTTTCATAACCAATGTAGTAAGTAAAAACTTATTAAAATTACAGTAAAGTAAATGGATACAAAATAATACATATTATGATTTATATACTACACCGTAGTACAAAAGACGATATATATATGGTATTTGGTGACTATAGTGAGTATTCGGGGGCTGAGTTACTCCTGAAGACCAATATGCTGAGCAGAGCCTACCCTGTCATGGAGGATATCCAGATTTTAGGGTAGGGTGTGCTTGCCCTCCTCAAAACAATGAACCCCTTCAAAGCACATCAAATCACGAGTGCTCAAGGAATGGGGAAATGAAATCGCTCCTGCCCTAACAATCCACTTCCAATCATCGCTGTGCGCAGGCAATGTTCCAGAAGACTGGAGAAAAGAACATGTCACTCCAATCTACAAGAAATGGGAGCTTTCCGACCCTCCCAACTACCTCCAGTATCCCTCACCAGCGTGGGATGAAAACTGTTAAAACACATAATGGTAAGCGAAGTCATGAAGCATATTGAAAGCCAAAATTTAATCAATGATTGTCAGCATGGATTACGACTCAATAGATCATGTGAGACCAAGCTCCTTGAATTTGTAGCAGACTTGATGACCAATGCGGAGAAAAGCAAGCAAGCTGACGTGCTGGTGATGGACTTCTCAAAGGCATTTGAACGTGTCACTCATAATTTTTCTCTTCATAAACTCCAGAGATCCAAGGCACTACTAAAACATGGATCTCTAGCTTCCTCAGCAACCGATGCCTGTAGTAGTGGTGCACTGTACAAGCTCCTCCATTGTCGATGTAAAGTAGGGGTCCCCCAGTGCTAGGCGCTAGGCCCTTGTTTGTTCCTATCAATGACCTAACCTAGAAACTGACATCCCAACTGACAACTGTTCGCAGATGACACCGCGGTGTATAGGAAGATCGCCAACCTTTCTGACCAGGGAGTAGAGACGTGGAATTTTATCCTGCCAAGTGCCAGACACTATCATACTCTATAAGTGGAACTCATTTACATCACCGTTAAGAAATGCATGGCCATATACTTTAGCCAGTTTTCTTCGTAAGGTACCTCGATGATACCATTCTTAGAGATGTCCGCTGGGACGAGCATGTTAACAATGTGTGCAACCAGGCTACAAGACCCTAGGGTCCTTTAGGCAAAATTTAAAAATTGGCAACTGCAATGAAAAAGAAAGAGCATATAAAGCCTTTGCCCGGCCGCTTTTAGATTAAGCATCTTCAGTCTATGATTCATTCACCCAGAAGAGCGTCGACAGGTTGGAGGCGGTCCAGTGACGGGCAGCACGATTTTGTCCTAAATCTCTACAGGAACATTTCTAGTGTTGGAGGCATGCTCGAAACACGGGGTTGTTCACCCTTGGAGAGAAGGTGACGACTATCCAGGCTCTCCATGATGTACAAGATAAATAATGGTCTTGTCCATTGCTCCAGCATAAAAAAGAAACTCGCCCTCCCCCCCCCCCCACCTCCCAGACAGCCACGAGGCCATGAAAAGACAATCAGGGATTGGAACAAGCTTCCAAATGGAAAAGTTGAGGCGATAAAACACTTGACACATTTGCATCTATTGCCTCGGGCCTTCCAACCCCCAGTTCCTGATAACATAGCTGTGTAGCCCTTTCAACCAGTGAAATATCCTATTCATAACTGGCACAAAAACATAGAAAATCCCGTCTACACACATAGGAGCTAGTGGGATCAATCCATTGATCGTACGCCCTTAATATATAGAAGAAAAAGAAGAAATAGAAATATTAATTTTTTAATGCGTTTCTTGCAAAGATGAATAACCGCACACACCACCCCCTTAGACACCATTAAATCACACACCATGTCCTACAAAATTCGACTTTAAAAATATATTTAAAAACAAATAATTAATATAAAATGTTCATTAAAAAAACAACAAAACAAAACAATGACAACACATGTGTTCGTTTCAGATGGATTTCTTCTGGCAAGACGAACTCTAAGACACTCACAGGCAGATGTTAGGAAAGGTCTAAAGATCATTAGCTCCACTTTGGGACAACTCAGCAGTAGAAGTCAAGTAGAAGCCAATGACATATTACCGTCAAATGATCTAAAAAAGGTAGGATCTGTGTTCCTGCAGGGTATTTATTATGTTGAATACTCAAAGGTAATTTCTTGATCATGACACCGAAAGCCCTGTAACATATTGGAACTGTAGTGTAACTTATAGTCCAACCTTCTACAACAACAATGAGCCATGACATCTTCTGACCAGAGACAATGTCCAATAATGAACTGAGGTAAAGATAGGATGTATGACACCATTCACTTCCTAGGACAGCATTAAGATTGACAGCCCCGAAACTTTAAAGGTATTTTAGTTGAAATAAATTTCTGACAGTATTTTCAAAATGCATAATAAAATTTCTAACTGCGAGCTCAACCCAAAATTATGCAACTGCATTTTATTTTATGTTTAAATATATAAAATGTTATTATGCATATATTTATGACACTCTTATCTAGGTCTCTAGCATACCACCGCCTTTGAACTGGCTGCCCAGTTACAACCAGAAAAGAAGCTTTCATGATGGGCTGTTTGGTAATGGGAGGCAAGATGTTCTGACATATTTAAATCGTAGTCTGGGGCCTTTGTCTTACAACTGTAGACGTTTACACCTGGAACCGGCTAGGAATTGCAAAATACCAACAAAATTTAATGTAAGCACCTTCCTGTTATAGTTTTTGTTAATTCATAAGATAGCTTATAAAGAATTTTGAAATGTATTATTATGTGTATCTTATACTTTGGCAAACTTATGCTTTTGGTATAATGTGGTGTAAAAGAGGAGGTTAGTATCTCTGATGCTGGAACAATTTTTGCTCCTAAGAGCAGTTTGTCCGTCTTGGTCCTCTCCTGTCACTAAAATTTCACCAATGGCTCCCCGTAGTTGTTAGCATGCAACAGCGGCCAAACCCGGGGCGACGACTTACACTAGCCTGCTAAAACAGGTGAGGGTAGTTGATGGGCCTCAAACCCTCGGTGAATTATGTCTGCCTACCTACTGCACGCGAAGCCTGGATCTCTCCGGATCCTGCGGAGAAGACCATTTAGGATCAATGGAGGTGAAGTCGATTACAGCAGCGCACCGTGGAGTGTGTAGGGCAAGATGAGGTACGCAGAACATCTTGGTCATCAACTACATCAGTACCCATCTCCGGTTGTCTTGGCTTAGTTTTGCCACTGGCACGGGTGGGTCCGGGCGATCGAGTCAAGTCTACGCTGAGCTAACTTTCATCAGTTTAAGCAAAGTCATCAGCGCAAGTCATCAGTAATCCAGCACCCATCAACCCATGTTCTGTGGCGACGGGTGAGCGACGAAGTGACGTGTGTGGTGCAATGGAAGTGGTAGCCGCAAGCCTGCACACAAACGACTCAGGTTAAAGAGTCGCGCTTCACTGATCGGAGCACAAGTGGAGTTCGTCAGCCATCTGAGTAGCTCTATTCATGACAGCACTGCTCACCCCCAGGCATAAGGAAGAGGTTAGAAAAGGTGATCCGAAAATTGCCTGCTCCTTCACATCCTAACCGGCTAACCACGGTCGGCGAGGATCCAAATTTGTGCTCCAAAAACAAAGACAAACTTGATTTTACTTAAAATTGCCTCTTGGAACATCCGCACATTGCTTGATTGGGTCACTACAAACATAACTCAACGACGCACATCCCTTATCGCCCACGAACTTGTCAGATAGAACGTAGACATCGTCGCCCTCAGTGAAATCAGACTCTCTGGAAGAGGTGAACTCACAGAAAGGCTTGCTGGCTATTCTTTCCTCTGGAGCCGGTGAGAAGATGAAGTTGCCTTTGATGTTAAAACCTCTCTTTCGAGCAAGCGCCCCATCTCTCTTAAAAGTGTCAATGCCGTCTAATGTCATGCACCTTAGTCACTGCCTACGCACTAACCTTAGTCACTGCCTACGCACTCACCTTAGTCACTGCCTACGCACTAACCTTAGTCACTGCCTACGCACTAACCTTAGTCACTGCCTATGCACTCACCTTAGTCACTGCCTACGCACTAACCTTAGTCACTGCCTACGCACTCACCTTAGTCACTGCCTACGCACTCACCTTAGTCACTGCCTACGCACTCACCTTAGTCACTGCCTACGCACTCACCTTAGTCACTGCCTACGCACTCACCTTAGTCACTGCCTACGCACTCACCTTAGTCACTGCCTACGCACTCACCTTAGTCACTGCCTACGCACTCACCTTAGTCACTGCCTATGCACTCACCTTAGTCACTGCCTATGCACTAACCTTAGTCACTGCCTATGCACTAACCTTAGTCACTGCCTACGCACTAACCTTAGTCACTGCCTATGCACTAACCTTAGTCACTGCCTATGCAACATTAGATCACCGTCTAACGCAACTGTCCCATGCCCACAGTGCCAAAGACTATTCCGAGTACGGTTCGTACCAGCAAGCCACCTAGGCACTCACCGTAACCCGCCCCACCCCAAACTGGATGACTGGATGGTCGTTGTCAAATGTCCCGGACGAACAAGCATGGCAAACTTAATATGATTATCTTATCTCCTGATATTTTTGTAGTTTACGTAAAATCTTTAGCAACCTTTAGCATTTGAATCTTTTATTATTCTTCCCCCACCCAAAAAAAAAAAAAAAAAACTTACCTTTTTTTACACATAAAAACCCAATCAGAATTAAAGAAGGAAAAAATAAAATAATCATGATTAAATTTTTCATCCAGGCTATTAAAGTATCGGACCAGCGCCTTGGGCCAACTTACACGTCACAACTGTGTGCGGAGTCACAGAATAGACTCAAGGAAATAGCCCATGAAAGCATAAAGAAAGCCCTTAGAGCCAACAAAGTTAAAGTTGTCAAAGATAACCCCAAGAAATACCCTGGTTAGTATTAATGAAACAATACACAGCTGTATGATTTATCCTCATACGATTTGACAAATTAGCGTTTTTTAAATGACAGTTTGATATCAAATGATTAGCAACACCATTTAATAATTGTTTATAAATCACTGAAAATTCACTTTTAACATTAAGAAAAAAAAATCTTTGCCAGACCAAGGACTATTCGAGTCATCCTTGCTGACTCAAGTAGAGAAAGATATCAAGAATAACATGGAAGCATTCAGAGTTCCAGCTATACTTCGCTATGTAAGGAAACATTTTTTTACATTTAAAATAATTAAATTTGTGAAATTGGCCTTAAATCATAAGTCTTTGTAATGCAAACATTGCACTTAAATGGAGAGTTGAAAGAACTGTAAGAAAAACTGAACACAACTGAAACCATGAGGCTAATAGTTAACTTGCAATTTTACTTAGGACTTGAGTTTGTTTGGAATGCATCTAATTTTTGTTACTGACAGATGACGATGGAGATCACTAAAAGAAATTTGGAGACTCCTGGATTGTTCCGAATGACTGGAAATCCTGACAAAGTAGCGGTGAGATATTGTATTCATTCTTTTTCGAAGCTTCAATGAAAGTTTTTTGTGACTTTAACAGAATATTGTGAATATAAGACTTGTCAAAATGATGAAAGGTATCGATGAATTTTAAAGTAAAATAAACTAAAGAACGTCTAATCTGAAATAGTGCAGTATTCCTCCAAGATTAACAACCAATCATTCTTTTGATCAGCGGTTCTCAAAAAGAGGCATATGCCCTGCCAGGTACCACATCATAAATTTGTGGGGCAACAAATCCTTTAACTAAATAATCTTAAGTGAATAAATAATAAAGTTTAAATAATACTTAATGGGGTCTACACGTGTAAAAAAAAACATAATAGTAAGGTGGGTAGCGAATACAACAAAGGTTGAGAATGGTTGCTCTTGACCAAGCGTTGAAGGAAAATATTGCTTTTAGCAAATTTTCAATTAAGTCAATGATTTATAGGTCTAACTTCTAATGGCTGAAATGAAAGTCTAGCAAATATTCAATTAAAGACAATTATCTGGCAACTATTAATTTAAAGACAAACATGCAAGCTGAGGTTTATATATGATAATGTACAAGACCACGTAGTTTTTGAAGCAGTAAAGCAATCCTTAAGGGCTAACCAACGAGACAGAGTTTTTTTAAATAGAATAGTTATCAATCGTGACGCATTTTCGTTTTAATTTTCATTCCTCACACAGAAATTGAAACATCTTTTGGAAGAGAAATTCTATGGGACAGAAGCCTTTGACAGAAGCGGGTATGATATTCATGACTTCGCAACACTTATGAAAGACTATTTGCGTAATCTGCCTGCACGACTCGTGTCAACAGAAAAATTTGAAATTTTTCCCGATATAGAAGGTATTTGTGTTGAATTTAAATATTTCAGATATAGAGGGTATTGTGCTGAATTTAAATATTTCAGATGTACAACTTTAAAGAATTCTAATGGCCGAATGAAATTTATGTGCCATTATTTTTGTTGCAATACACAACTAACAAGCAGAATTCTTCTCTCTTCGTAGACTTGGATTTTGAAAAAGAACAATATCCAATAATGAACTTCTTTTACGTGTCTATGACACAAGAACACAGAAACACAGTACAGGTATGAACGCTGTAATGTACATGTTGCCCCCGTAGTTTGAACACTAATGAATTAGTTGAATGAAGTTCGGGGTGTCTCTGTAGACTGAACATGTAAGAATGGTCCTGGTAATGTACAAGGTTCAAGGTCGCAAGTGTGTTAATTAATAAAAATTATGTATAATATTTATTTATATGTATGTTATTAATGACTGAAGTTAATAACATAGTGTGACGCTATATATTTAAAATAAAGCCTACCCTACGCCTGTTAAAGACTTTCCCAAATTTTGGAAAACCTTCCACTCCTGCCCCCAAAGTAGGTCAAACTTTCCACAAAAAAAAAAATATTTAAAAATTAGTAAATAATTACATTTTAATGAAAAACATACTTCGCCATTAAACTTACCTGCTCCCCACTTACCTGCTCTCCCCTCTGGAGTATGAACTACGCGTCTCGATTAAACTTACCTGCTCCCCACTTACCTGCTCTCCCCTCTGGAGTATGAACTACGCGTCTCGATTAAACTTACCTGCTCCCCACTTACCTGCTCTCCCCTCTGGAGTATGAACTACGCGTCTCGATTAAACTTACCTGCTCCCCACTTACCTGCTCTCCCCTCTGGAGTATGAACTACGCGTCTCGATTAAGCTTACCTGCTCCATTCCCCCCTCCCCGCTTTTCAGGAGTGTGAGTTACCATTCTCGATTAAGTTCACCTGCCCCCCCCCCCCCCTTCAGGAGTGTTGACTGCACTTTTCCATTAAACTGACCTGCTCCCCTCTCAGGAGCGTAAACTACGTTATGGATGGCCCCTTATTGTAACCGTAAACTACGTTATGGATGGCCCCTTGTGGTAAAATACACTTGGCATAATTAGGTATATCAATTAAAAAGGTCAACCCAATGTTTTGTCCTTTTTTCGCTCCATTATCAGCACCCACCTGTGTTTAGAGTTGAAGCCTCCCACCCGCTAGACGTAATGATCATTTTCAACCTTTTTGTCAAGTTGACTTATTTTTTATTGTGCTTACAAAGTGTCCTCACTTTTTCACTTTTTATTAAGTTTAAACTAAATGTTCAATTATTTTTTTTTTAAAGTATCTATTTAGCTTTCTAGAAAAAGTAGCAAACCACAGTGATAAGAACCAGATGGATGCCGACATGCTGGCAAAATTTTTTGGACCACTCTTATTTAAGACGGAGGACAAAGAGAAAGTTTCCTGTCAGATCAACATGGCAAGAGCGTGGATGTTTTATTATCGCAGCTTGGCTCTTGTAAGTCACCCATTGGCTCATTGAAAGCTGATCTCGCATTTCAGCTCTCGTCAATATTTTTAAAATCAATTAAAACAAATTTAAATATTTTTTAAGGAATAGTAAAAATAACCATTGATGTCAGCAGGAACAATTAAAAATCTTAAATTTGATATCTTTCCATCACTTAATTAGTACATGGCCCTTGTACCTTTCTATCACTCAATTAGTACATGGCCCTTGTACCTTTCTATCACTTAATTAGTACATGGCCCTTGTACCTTTCTATCACTTAATTAGTACATGTACCTTGTACCTTTCTATCACTTAATTAGTACATGTACCTTGTACCTTTCTATCAATTAATTAGTACATGTACCTTGTATCTTTCTATCATTTAATTAGTACATGTACCTTGTACCTTTCTATCACTTAATTAGTACATGGCCCTTGTACCTTTCTATCACTTAATTAGTACATGTACCTTGTACCTTTCAATCACTTAATTAGTACATGGCCCTTGTACCTTTCTATCACTTAATTAGTACATGTACCTTGTACCTTTCTATCACTTAATTAGTACATGTACCTTGTACCTTTCTATCACTTAATTAGTACATGTACCTTGTACCTTTCTATCACTTAATTAGTACATGTACCTTGTACCTTTCAATCACTTAATTAGTACATGTACCTTGTACCTTTCTATCACTTAATTAGTACATGTACCTTGTACCTTTCTATCACTTAATTAGTACATGTACCTTGTACCTTTCTATCACTTAATTAGTACATGTACCTTGTACCTTTCTATCACTTAATTAGTACATGTACCTTGTACCTTTCTATCATTTAATTAGTACATGTACCTTGTACCTTTCTATCACTTAATTAGTACATGGCCCTTGTACCTTTCTATCACTTAATTAGTACATGTACCTTGTACCTTTCTATCATTTAATTAGTACATGTACCTTGTACCTTTCTATCACTTAATTAGTACATGTACCTTGTACCTTTCTATCACTTAATTAGTACATGTACCTTGTACCTTTCTATCACTTAATTAGTACATGGCCCTTGTACCTTTCTATCACTTAATTAGTACATGTACCTTGTACCTTTCTATCACTTAATTAGTACATGTACCTTGTACCTTTCTATCACTTAATTAGTACATGTACCTTGTACCTTTCTATCACTTAATTAGTACATGGCCCTTGTACCTTTCTATCATTTAATTAGTACTTGTATCTTGGTACGTTTCTATCCCTTAAATAGTATATGGCCCTTGGGAGGCATCTATCACTTTTCATAGTAGATGGACCTTGGTCACTTTCTATCACTTATATAGTTCAAGACCTTTGTAACTTCCTATCGCTTAAATAGCACATGGCCGTTGGTACCCTTCTACGACTTTTCATAGTAGATGGCCCTTGATAGCCTTCTATTCCTTAAATAGTATAAGCCCTTAGTAACTCGTGTATCACATGTTAAGTTTAGTTTCTCTTCTTTCTTTTCTATAAAACTCATTTAGGTACCATCTCATATGATGGAGGATCTTAGGAAATCTTTCAGTTCAAAAGAAGCCAAAATAAAATTTGTAAGTAACATAATTTATTTATACAAAATTTAAGAAAAATAAACAAATAAATACTATCAATATCATTTTAAGTTATATATTACATTTAAACGTTAGAACTAATCTATGTTTTTATATTGCAAAGTGTTACATAATGTAATGCCTTTTCTATTTTAGGATCCTAAACTATTTCCCGAAACACCAAAACCACCGTCTGTTCCCAAAAATGTGGTAAATTTTTTAGACGTTTGTATTAATCATAGAAATAAGTAAATAACTGGCTAAAAACAGAAAAAGTAAAGCTCATTTAACCAGCACACAGGCCACATCTAGCTTATATACGGATATAAGACCAGACCAGGCGCCAACTTGGCCTCTCTGCCAACATTCAAATGAGACAAAGTCAAATAACCTGTATTTACTTGATTTGATAACCGTTTAACACTTCTTTGACCTGCCATAATTTCCGGACTAAAGAAATGACATAAACTCAGACAACGTCCAAGTGAAGAACACCTGTAAATTATTCGATATGCCAAAATGAGACATTTTATCAAAATAATGAAATCTCTTGTCCTAATTACTTTCAAGATTTATGAAAGCTTTCTAGGCTACATTTAAACTCTTTTGAGAAATTTCAAGTAAACACAGAAACGAAAACAACTTAATTTATAAATTTTTAACGGCCCAAAGAGTAGTTTAGAATTTATTATCTTTTACAAATTTTCTTTAATCTACAGCAAAACGCTACTGATGCCACAATCACTGTGCTGACACCCTATGAGAGTCAGCCTTCCAAGCAAATAAAAATAGGAGCACAGCATGTAGCCAAACAAGTTGTCTGTGAAGCATTGGGAATAGCCTTGTAAGTGGTCAACTATGAACGGTTATTCCAATGTTGTCTGAAACACTAGTTAACTGGTAGTGATAGCCAACACGGGGAGGGTAACACCAAGGGTGGGTGGCACTGTTGATATAGATACCTCATTTATTTATAACGAAATTTTAGCCTAAAAAAAATATGCAGGGCCAACATTCTGCAAAAATGGGATATACAACCAATTATTAGAATAAAAATTGTTTATATTAACTAATTTACTACAACAAAAATATTTTGACTCAAAAAAAATATTAAAATGTCTGGTTCCATTCCATTAGTGATCCCTTTGATATGGCAGCCGATGACTCTGCAATGGACAAAACCCCACCATTGAAACCAGATGTTCTTCACGATCTAACGATGTAAATATTACGGCTAAGACAGATCGCTAAATATCTTGCCTAGTTAAGTTTAACTACTAATGCTTACATTTACTCGTATTTTAAGTAAACGACATTTTAAGTGCTTCACTAAATGTTTAAGAATTCAAAGCTTTTTTTTTTTAATATCTGAAATTTCCTTAATCGTAATTGTAACAGCAAAAATATCACCTATGAGAAAATGAGATGGTAGGAGACGGTTAAATCTACTTCGTACAAAAAAGATTTCAATTTGTTTTTAAAATATATTCTTCCCCAGTGATGACACAGAAGATGATAAACCGCCTTCGAATTATTTGCATGAAGTTGGTGGCAACATGGGTAATTTATGATTGATTCAACTTAAATGTTTTGTTGATGCTTTATTTATAATTCCACATTAAAAACAAAACAGTTTTCTATCACCAAAATTAGCTCCTGTAGCCTTCGCTTACTCAGTGTACCTCTGGGGTAACACCCCTGGCATTATCAACCAAGTATAGAGTGGTCACGGCCGCAATAGGGTGACATATTATTTACCTCTGGGACAGCTGGTGACGCTAAGGAAAGTTTTAAGTTGCTCCCCAATTTTCTCTCGGACAGACGGTGGCAGTTCCATTAAATGACTTTTAAGCTGATGATTTCTTTACTGTTATCAGCCACATATCCATATCCACACAGTTATACAATGAATAAACTTGATTTTCTATGCAATGATTGATATGGTTTGAAAGCGTATTGATTACTCATTATTTTAACCGACTCCCTACCACATGTGACAGAATTTACCACATGTGGCAGACCTTACTGCTTGTTGTTGACCTTACCCGTTGTGGCTAAATCTTTCATTTTTTAAAAGTGTGTTTGCCTTTGCTTTCTTATAACACTTCCCTCTCCTAGGTGAACGATGCCTGGACTCCAACACCAAGATGCTGGAGCTTTACAAAGTGAATCCGAAAGCATTTTGGGTGATAAAGACCCGACGAAGTCCAGCAATACATCAATCCAGCTGAAAGGAACTTCCTCCATTATAAAGTGAAGGAATAAGTGGTCAAGAAGTATGTGACCAAGGACCGCCCTAACTGAAACTGTGGCCAACATAACCTAGATGCCTTTTAACACTAGCTTATAATGTCTTAAACCTTTGGTTTATTGCATTCAATGGTATATAGAATTTTTTGTGTTGAACAAGAGTTTAAAATTTGTTACTAAAATAAATGTGTTATTAAATATCAGATTAAAAGGGAGAATGCATAATATTTTTTTTAGAAACCCTTCTTTCAGTTGTTTACCTCGGTGATCATTACATTTAGAATGTCTCTGGTGCAACTTTTGACACCACAATTTTAATCTGATTAATAAAAATAAATCATAAGGCAATTATTGTTTGTTTATTTGATTAATTTAAAAACCTTAATTTAATCTTTATAGAAGGTGCATTACACCATTAAAAGGTTCATTAAGTTAATTTAACGTCCGCTAGCGATCAAATTTAAATTAGATTTTTAATAAATTTTTCATTATCTATTTTTTTCCGCTTGGATTTCCAAATGGTATCCCATTGGGATTCCGATTCTGACCTTGTTTCCAAATGGGATCCCTAAGGATGCCAATTCCGATTGGGATCCTGTTTCTAAATGTGATACCATTGGGATCCCGAACTCATAAGAATACAAATCCCGATTGAGATTCCATTTCCAAATGGGATCCCATATCACATTAAGGATCTCCTTCTCATTGGGATCCTGACTCCACTGGGTCCCAACCCTATTGATCCCGATCTGATTAAGATCCCGATCCGATCTTATTTCCAATTAGGATATCATTTTCCAATGGGATCCCGATCTTATTGGGATCCCGATCCACTTGGAATCCCGATGGGAACCCGTTTTAAAATTGGAGCTCACATCACGATGGCATCCCCTTCTTATTTGGAACCCAACTTCATTGGGATCAGGACCCCTTTGGATCTATACCTAACTGAGATCTCGATCGCATCCCATATCTAAGTAGGATACCATTTTCCATTTTTTTTCCCATTTCAGGTGGGATCCCGATTCAGTTAGGATCATGTTTCACGGTGGGATCCTCGTCTCCGACGGGATCCCGTATGCCGATAAATTCCCTATATGACCCCGTCACTCAATGGGATCGTGTTACCCGTCGGTTCCAGTTTACTCATTCACCCTTAGGATCCTCTTCTTCGTTGGGATCATGTTCGCTTTGGGATTTTGTTCCCGGTAGGATTATCAAGGGGCTGTTTAAAGAAAATTCCCTTAAAAATTCGTAATCTCTTATATATATCCGTAGAGCAATTTAGAACTTTCTTGATCATCTAGACTCAAATTAATAACCTCCTCGCAGCGTTTAAAAAATGACTTTTCTAAGTAATTACTTGTCGAATAACAAAAATTCTACAACTGAATGCAATACTATAACCTATAGTACATTTAAGTTGAAAGAAGGTCCAAAGCGGTGGCCTATTCCATAATCGTACCGTTATAGAGATTGTGGGGGTGGGGGGGGGAGGGGGGGGGAGCTATACAAATCAGTGAGATAAAAAAAAGGAAAAGTAATTGTAAAAGTTTTCCCATTAAAATCAGTTCAAAATTGCCATAGATATAGCTTTTTTTTAAATTATAAAAGAAGGTCCAAAGCGGTGGCCTATTCCATAATCGTACCGTTATAGAGATTGTGGGGGTGGGGGGGGGAGGGGGGGGGAGCTATACAAATCAGTGAGATAAAAAAAAGGAAAATTAATTGTAAAAGTTTTCCCATTAAAATCAGTTCAAAATTGCCATAGATATAGCTTTTTTTTAAATTATGGAACTTCCTGGGAAAGACTATACTGGCCCTGAATGGATTGGATAATATTCATTTTAAATCCACAGATATTTCAGTATGGAAGTGTATTGCCACCAACCAAGGCCTACATCCATCAATTCACGTAGCATATTGATATTTATATAGCATACTTTAGGAAAAATGAAATGGGACCCCGGCCCCATGGGAATTCAGACAATAAGTTCAGTACCCTTTGGTATTTGATTATGGATAATCAAGTGTATGTGTACTAAATTTGGTCAAGATCCATCTATTCATTTAGGAGTATTTGTTGTTAATTAACGAATTCAGGGCCCCCGGCCCCCAACGGAATGTTATAAAAAGTTCATAACCCACACCGTTCTCCAAGAGGTCCTTCTGGATAATGATGGATGTATGTGCCAAGTTTGGTCAAGATTCACCAAGTCATGTAAAAGCCTTTCTTGAACAAAGCCACCGACAAACAAAGAAACTCTCACTTTTAGATATATACTAGCAAATATACCCGGCGTTTCACGGGTTCTGGTTTTGGTAAGGTAAGCTACTGAATCAATGTACTGGCATATGTGCAACGGTTGGGGCTGCGACGCTGGTATTTTAACGGCTCCTAACGGATGATAGGGGAAGTTTTTGAAGCTCTGGCGTGACGTCGAGTTTACGGCGGTATTGTTCAAGTGGTTCCAAGCGATGGCTGTGCGTGGGAAAAAATGATTGTTTATTTTTGAGAGTGTTACACCGAGGCACAGTGAAGCTCTACCACCATATGTTTTACTCTTAAGTAACTTTTTTTTTATTTTTTCTCCTATTTTATTATCACGATCCACTGCTCTATTCTGGCCAATAAAATCAAGAACAATAAAATGGGGGTAAGTATTTTAACATTTTACTCGGATTGCAATACTTTTATCTGGTTATTGGTAACATTGGCATTAAAAATAAATTAAAAAATTAAAAATTTATTGTTAATACATTTTTTTAGAAATTTAAATAAAAATTAATTAATTAAATTTTTGTTTATAAAGATCGACAAAAGAAATGTCATGTCAAGCGTTATTAATTTAATTTGACAAAAAATTATTTAAATAAGAAAACAAATGTCACAATTAGGAGTGTTACCGGAACAAAGGCAGATACGAGGCTATCCCAACTATCACCTGGCGACTACCAACGACTAAAACTGTCTGGCTGGTGTTTGTATTTAAGTGTGGCTTTTAATGGAACATCTTGGTTAATGCATTTTAAAGTTACACTTCTTTCACCACATGTGGTATAAACAAAATTACATATAAAATTAGTTTTGTACCGTGGAAAAAATCTCAAACTCTTTCATAAATTGAATTTCAGTGATTACATCAAACGTAAATGCATTGTGCTCTATGAACTTTGATGTAACTGTATCTATGACACCAAAGAATTACATCTTTTTTTATTCAATTGAGTTTTTTTAAACGTAGCCTACAAAAAGCACAAGTCTCTTAAAGATTTGACAAAATAAACATTGCCCTTTACGTAAAGGGAATTTATAAATATAAAAATATTTTTTAGACATGTATTCTGAATATGTAAGGCCGTTTCAAAGGTTTCCTATCTTAGGGTTAGTTCCAATTGTAACAATGGAAAGGGTTTATTAGAAAGTTTACAATAATTAATGAATGATCATCGTTCAATTTTTGTAGACTTAAATAGAGAAGTACAAAAATAAATCCTTATTTAAACAAATTAAATGAATACTATCCTAGTAAGTTTGCTATATTTTTTATATCTAATAAGAATTTATGAATTGTTACATAACTTTTTCCTAAGGTTTTGATATAATTCATTTAATTTTACATTGTTGACACAAAAACGTTAGGTATCGTATTTATTTCTTAAATTCCGGAATATTCCTGTAGGCCTACGCTATAAAAAACTGACAATGTTGTGTAAATTTATACATTCTTCTGTTGTGTTGTTGTTGTTTTGTCTCAATCCAAGTAAGCTCGTGATTTTAGATTTTTGTGATCGATGTTTTTCTTAGTAAGAATCTTCTTTGTCCTAAATAATAGTTGTCTAAATCCGCTAATGGGAATATGCTAGCCCTATATTTTACGAAAGCAAGGGACATCACTGGACAGATATAACCTTTTTCCCCATGACCAAAACACACGTAAAAACTAAACAACAATGAGTTTGTCGTATTAAAATGGAAATGTTCTTACTTTTAACAAAAAATAATAATTTTCCATCGGTTTTTGTTTAAACTTAATACTAAATCCATTCGATTTGTTTATTTTATAAATTATAACGAATAATTACTAATTAAAGTTTCTTTCTAACACTGTTCGGAAACTTTAATAATTAGAACTGAATTAGAATTAGTCTCTTTCCGCCCTTTATATATTAGGAAATCTAAATTCTGTATTTATAATTCAAATATTTCATTTATTCATAGTCAAAACAGTTTATGAACCAGGGAGTTTGGCGATGGGATTCGATACTCAAGGACGTGACAAAGAAGATCTGTTATTTGTACAAGAAAACTCATGATCATTTTAAAAAAATCATGGGTGAGTTTATTTATTTAGTTGGTTATTTTTTTTTCCACATAAAGTCTTGTGTTTTAAAATCAACTATTTAAATCATGATTAACTTATTTAGATTTATTTAAAATTGGCGTCAAACAATTTCAAACAATATCTGATTCGTTTGTACGATTGTTTCTTGTTTTAAAACACTAACATTAACATACATTATTTAAGGAGTTAAAATGCAACTTTTTTTACATTATACAATATCAAAGCAGTAGATCCAAATCATATTTTATGTGATTGTACTATTTAAGAAAACAAGTTGTTTCTTAGATATCTTCAAATTAACATTGTCTTTTAATTTACAGATTTTTCAAAGTAAAACAAGTTTCCAAGAATCACATTTGGAACTCAGTCAAACAACTGGTATAATTAAAATTGATTTTTGGGGTCCAGTGTTTTGATATATATAAATGATAATAACAATAACCTCAATTTTTGCAATAAAAGAGAAAGAAATAAAATTGATATGTGTTTAAGGGACAGAGAAAGATCGCAAGAGATTTTTTTTAAAAAGTGGTGTGTAGTAAGAGCGAGATAAAAAAAGAGAAATATGTAAAAAAAAAAAAAGATTTTGCCATAGAAAAAAAAGAAATTTTCATCATACCACCGATGTCTACTTATCACTAGAGCAATTCAAAGTGATTGGAACTCATGCAACACCACATGGCTACTTATCACTAGAGCAATTCAAAGTGATTGGAACTCATGCAACACCACATGGCAACTTATCACTAGAGCAATTCAAAATGATTGGAACTCATGCAACACCACATGGCTACTTATCACTAGAGCAATTCAAAGTGATTGGAACTCATGCAACACCACATGGCAACTTATCACTAGAGCAATTCAAAGTGATTGGAACTCATGCAACACCACATGGCAACTTATCACTAGAGCAATTCAAAGTGATTGGAACTCATGAAACACCACATGGCTACTTATCACTAGAGGAATTCAAAGTGATTGGAACTCATGCAACACC